GACACCACCAATTTTCAATCCCTTCAATTGGTTGAGGCCGCGAAAGAAATCTTCCAGAATATGACTTAAATTTCGACACCAGCTGATATCTAATCGAACAAGAGAATGCAGTCTTCTTTTTAAACCATCAGGAACAGACTTGAATTGATCACAACATCTAATGACTAGTGATTGAAAACGAGAAGGCCACACTTTTCCTCCATGTAAATCATCAAAGAAAAACTTCCCGCAGATCTCGATGTTCAATTCCTTCATATTTGCGTAGGATAGTGGCCAACTAATTCGAACACTTGCTTTTCCACACCAACCAATGAATACACTTACAAGAGAACACGATTCTAGAATAATAGAAGATACCAGATTGTAGCATGTAGAAATAGACAACGCCTCCAGAGCTATGCAGCTTTGAAGGCTTGGAATGGATGCCAGATTGGAACAACGCATTATGGTTAAATATTTTAGAGATGTCGCAGAGGCATGAAATTCACCAGTTATATGACTCAATGCATTACAGTCTCTGATTGTCAATCTTACAAGTTTTGATGAAAGATGGCTCATGGATGGGATGCTTTCCAACTTTGGACATCGTTCAATGTACAACTCTTCGAGGCAAGGAAATACTACTTGTACTCCACCAGCTATAGCTGCAGGTATCATCCATTCCACTAGACTACGCATGCCCATTACAGACAATCTTTTTAATATCGGGAATATTGGATTCGTTCCACTTCCACCACTGCTATAAAACTCCTGACCTATTATTTTCACACCATCCATTCCTTCTATCTCAAGAATTTCAAGATGAGAAAGATGTACTGCTGGAGGAAGTTTTTTACAGCCTTTCAATTTCAGCACCACCAAATTATTGAGTGTTGGCATCATAATCCATTGTGGGAATTCATCTCCCTGATAATTCTCAATCTCTAAGCTTCGTGTGTCTGGGTGAGGCTGGAGGCCTTCCAACACATCCTTGTAATTGATGCTGGAACTGCTGCTTTCTCTTTCTGAACTCCATACCAATACCAATGTGTTCATATTTCCTTTTCCAGACAGGTTTGCTCCCTTGGCTTCTTCTTTGTCTCTTACATGCTCCAGATTGACTATTCTCAACTTCCCTCTTAGTTCCTTCAAGCATCCCAGTTCTTCAATTTTGTGGCCCTTATCCTGCCCCACTTCAAAAAATGGCAGTGATCGAAGACCAGTTAAGCATCCAACATCAGCTGGCGTATGACTAAAGTCAACATGTCTCAAGCTTACCAAATATTCCATTTTGTTGGGAAGCTTTATCAGTGATCGGCAGTCGCTGAATCTTAAGGTTTTTTCTATCACCTATATCTTCCATCTCCCCACGAACTGATGACTCGAGCAACCCTTCAGCCATCCAAAGCTGAATCAGTTTCTCCTTTTCAATCTCAAAATCTTTAGGAAAAATAGAACAATAAGAAAAACAGCGTTGCAGAGAAGCAGAAGGCAAATGATCGAAACTTAATTTCAATATTTGTAAAAACTCGATCATAGTGTCTTGACATCTCAACAGCATCACTGTCTCTTATTGAACTCCATTTATCCTTGTCCTTTTCATAAAGCAAAATCGTCCCAAAAAATCTAGCAGCTAATGGCACTCCCCCACACTTTTTTGCAATATCTATTCCGATAGCCTCCAATTCTGAAGGAATAGACTCTCCATTTCTGGACACTATTTCACTAATAATTGACCAATATTCATTATTTGATAGTTGTTTCAGCTCATGACTACATGCAGTCGACTGACTCTCCATTATTGATGCTGTTAGTCTACTACGAGTATTAACAACAACAACATTCCTATTATTACCACTAATTTTTAATAGACAATCCCTTAAAATCTCCCACTCCCCATGTTCTTCGTTCCACACATCATCAAGTACGAGAAGAAATGTTTTAGTCTCTAACTCTTCTCGAAGATGTGTCATTATTGCATCCATTTCAGTTATCCCAGAAGTGTTTTCATCAAGAGTTAGAAGCATTTCTCGTAAAATCCTTTTATCGTCAAAACTATCAGAAACACAAATCCAAAATGTTACATCAAAAAGTTTTCTATCTATAACTTCTCGGTGCACCATTTTTGCTACAGTAGTCTTTCCGAGCCCGGCCATTCCCACTATAGGAATGACAGAAAGAACTTGTTGGCTGCAAGAACTAATCAACAAGTTAATAATTTTAGAGACATCATCCCCCCTTCCTTTGACATCTTCTGAGCTGCATAAGAAAGAGTCTGTCAGTTGAGGGGTTGTATCTGCAGATAGAACTCTAAGCCCATACGAAGTTGCTGTTTCTTGAAGCTCATCGAGGGACTCGTTGATCTTTTGAAGTTCTGCGGCCAACCTCAGACAAATTGCCATTGGGTTGGAGAGAGAGAAGAAGCTACATACCTTCCCTTTCATACTGTTTTGAGTCTCCAGCTTCCGTTGAATAATCTCATAATCAAGCTCATCCAGCACATCTTCAGCTTGGTAAGCTATGTCTCGAAGCTTATCCAACCAAACCCTCGAGTCTGCATCCGTAACTTGTCTTTTTTCTGCATCTTGTAGCACTGCCTGAATAGTGCTATATTTCAACTTCAGCTTTTCCAGCTCTCCCTTAAATCCCCACGCAATATTGATCCTCTGAGCTGCACGAGCAGCACGTGAACCAACCCTCTTCCAAATCTCCTCAGCCATATTTTCTCTCAGGTAAACTATTAATGATAAGGAAGAAATGCTTTGCAAGTTTTGGAAACAATGGAGGTGAAATTACACTCGATACTAAAAGACATCAATCTTTTATCACGTGAATTTAAAGGCTAATTTTATCTGTAGGTGGAAACTGTAGCATAACTTGTGGCTCGGGTTCGGATGATATTTTTAATAGAGTACGTTAGTCATTGTTTGAAGGAAGCAACCAGACAATTATTATTATTATTATTATTATTATAACATTTTAGACGTGGGAAAGTAGTCTAGTTTTCTCCGTGCCTTTTAGACTTTCCTCAATATTAATATACATTATTAATATATTATATTATAATAATTATTATACAATACTTTAAATGATGGGGGAATTATTATTCCCCGCGTACAATGCACGATAAATTATAATAGTAATTTATAATACATTCTTCTTCTTTTTGTATTTTTTTAATTTTTTTCCTTTTCTTGTTTTTTTCCAAAATTACCTTTTTTTTAATTTCTATTTTTTTAATTTTTTCATTTTTTTAAATTTTTTTTATTGATTTTACTTTTAAAAATTGACATGGTTAAAATTTTATAAATAAAATACTGTGAATTGCTGCGGTGTTTTTCTACATAGTTTTTTTATTTTTTAAAATTATATTTCTTAATTTTTTTAATATTGAGCTGATGAGAATATAGTTTTGTAATTTTTTTTTTAAAACATTATTGATTACTATAGTGTTTCTCTATATGGTTTTTTTATGATTTTCTCTGAAATTATATTTTTTATTTTATTTTTTAATATCAAACTGGTTAAAAATTATGATTATAATATGT